CCCCAGTGACCTGCCCAGGCCAGAGAAGGGAGGCTGCCAGCTCTCCTCCCTGCTCCCCCAGTCCCTCCATTGGCTACCACCAGCAGACTCAGCTCCTAGGCCTGGAACTGGTTCCATCACAAAAAGAGTCATAGGAGAGGCAGGCAGGATAGGAAGGGGCTATATCCAGGCATCACTGAGCCTGGAGGGGGCAGGGGCTGCTCTAACATGGTCACAGGAAAGCCCCTGCTCCTGGAGCCTGCCTCCCCACCACATACCCCCATGCTAACACCCCATGACCACCCCCACTCCCCAAGCCTTAACTAGGCCCTAGGAGGCAGAAGCAGACTGGGAAGCTACCTCACCTCTAGAGTAGGGGCATAGGACACACACACACACACACACACACACACACACACCCGCTCCCTCAGGATCCCAGCCAGGGTGGTATCTCTCTCCTCTTCCTGCGGCTTGTGGCAAGAGGTAAAGAAACTCCTCTGACCTTGGGGCCTCAGGAGTNGCCAGGGTGGTATCTCTCTCCTCTTCCTGCAGCTTGTGGCAAGAGGTAAAGAAACTCCTCTGACCTTGGGGCCTCAGGAGTGGTTCCAGCCAAGACAGAAGGTTAAGCCACCCTCTTTCCAGGCCTCTTCTGGCTGAGGCAGTAAAGTCTTGATTTTACCCTCTAGTCTTTCTGGTTTCTTGAGTCTGGCTCCTATTCAGGGACAGGCATAGGCTCACACACACTCCCATTGTCCTGTACTTACAGCCATGCACATGCACCCATACGCATGCATCTGTGTATACAGCAGACATGTATATGCACCCACCCATGCACATGTGCAAAGACACAGCTATCTGCATGTAAATTAGCACACACCCTTGTACCTATGCACACTCATGCACTACCTACATAATGAATACGAACACCCCTGACTTGCCACCTCCTACCTTTGGTCTCCTCCCACCCTCAAGCTGTCTTCCTCCTCTTTTTCCTCTCCCTCCTCTTCCTCTTCTGATACTACAACCCCCCCACCCC